TTTAAAATTTCAGCTTTCTAGCTTCCGTGGCTCCCCAGGATTTCAGCCTCCTAGCTTCTCAGATCCCCGAGTTATGAACTTACCCGAAAAAAATTTTGGCGGGCGCGCGTGTACCACGCTTACCCAGGGGCTGGGTTTGAGCCCACTAATACCCGCTTCGACGGGGAACATTACTACAAGATTTCAGCCTTCTAGCGTCTCAGATCCCCTAGTTATGAACTTACCCGAAAAAAATTTTGGCGGGCTCATACGTGGGTACCGCGCTTATCCGGGGGCTGGGTTTGAGCCCACTAATACCCACTTGGGCGAGGAACATTATCCCAAGATTTCAGCGTTCTTGCTTCTCAGATCCTCGAGTTATGAACTGACCCCGAAAGAACTTTGGCAGGCCCGTACGCGGGTACCGCGCGGGTTTTGGCGCCCATTTTGGGGATTGGGGGCGGTACGTGCATGTCCCGTACGCGGGTACCACGCGGGTTTTGGCGCCCATTTTGGGGATTGGGGGCGGTACGTGCATGCAGATAAGTTCCCGAAATCGGGTACCATGCGGGTTTTGGCGCCCATTTTGGGGATTGGGAGCGGTACGTGCATGCAGATTAAGTTCCCGAAATTCCGAGCCCTGCAGCTTTTATAGGTCCTGAGATGAAAGTGCGTGACAGACGCACACGCAGACACACGGAAACACAGACAACCTCTCGTCAATATGCGTTCTTCGCATTGCATTGCTGCAAAAACCGCATAAAAACGAGCGGAAACTGCTAATGGATGGACTAAAGAAACACAGAAGCCGCAACGGGACCATGGTACCCTTTCTTAACATTTCCTATTTTATTATCCAATTGCCGAGCAGGACACATATATACTTATATACACCCATGTCGTGCGCTTCTTGTACAAGAAGCGAGTTACAAAAGAATCCCGAGGACTTACAACATTTAAGATCAACGCAACTGAAATTTAGCATTTTAGTTCCCGAAGGAGAGACCACGAAGCAGGGCTATTAACGGTGTTAGCGAACTTTCCAGTGGGATGAGCATGAACGAGTTTCGATGACAATTCCACAGCTCAACTATGCGTGCACTAAAAAGTCCGAAGCAACGCGTTTTCTTGCTAGCCGAGGAAGACTGAGGCTGTTTGACTAAGCTGATGAGCCGAAATTCAAGAATTCTTGATCTACGCATTTGCCGATAATGTGTTTCCGATTAAAAAGCAGGATGTGTGAGATGCTTAAGTGGAAGGCTATGGAAGAGGGGGGGCCTAGAACCCCCCCCCCCCCCCCCCCCCCCCCCCCCCCCCCCCCCCCCCC